ATAGTATATATATATTCATCTAGCTCTACACTTGATCAGCTCGCGTTCCATTTTGGTTGAGTTTAACTTGCTTCGTTTATACCTACACAAAAACGATTTCAACAATTGAAAACAGAAAATAAATTTCATTTTACTTACAATTTATAATAAGAAAACAAAAAGTACAATTCTATAAAATTTATAAAAAATTTCAATATACGTCTGTGTATGTATGTGTGTGTGTGTGTATATATGTCTATATAATGTATATAACTATGTGTAGTATTATATATCTGGTGGTTTACAGCTGCCTCTAGACAGCCACAATGGCTGACATCTACGAGGCAGTCGGCACAGGATTAAAATAATGCAGGCCATTGGTCTGGAAGAGACAAATAGAGATGGAATTAGTAAATCTGTATAAATTGAAATTAATATATGGGTATATTGAGTACTCACTGCCATATCATATTCGGTTATATAGGCGGGTATTTCCAACTGATCCTTTGTAATGGCCGAATACAGGTGCTCAACGCCTGGCAGCGAGTGCACCTTCGCCTTGATGGCGGGCGCCATAAATGTGGTGAACCACCAGGTCATCATTTTAGTCCAGAATGTGGGGTGCACTATATAGAAGGCCTTCAAATTCTTCTTGTATCTGTTGAAGAATGGTGTTTATTGGAATACCCATAAACATTCGCATTGATATTAGTTCACTCACTTGTATGGCAGCACACTGTAGACTTCTCTGAGCCAGTGCAACGATGGATAGTTGTTTGTTGACGTGAGCGTGTGGAAGTATGCAATGACATAATCGCCTTTGACAATCGGATCGAGCAGTTTTATCAGATACAGCAGCGCCTGCAATATAACACAATATGGTTATCAATATGGCTAGTTTAATAGTGTGAGCACTTACCTTCTCCAGGTCAATGCTCTGGGCTGGAAACCATTTGCCGCAGAACACAATCACAGGTCGGCCAAGACGATCCACTCCGCTTTGATATAGACAACCGATGCCAGACACCTCATTCAAATCCTCAACTTGTGCGCGCTGCAGCAGGCGTTCATATCTGTAACAGATAAATAACAAATTCGTAATGATATTGCTTGTAAACATTGTTGATTCCACTTCTGTGCTAATGGTTTATTGATCTAGTTTTAAAGTTGTTTAACAAGCAATCGAATATATCATACCCTGGTCATGGGTGCAAAGGGGTATATTGTATTTTGAAGTGAGGTACGTAATGAACAGATGTAGAAGTGGCTGATGCCGTATGGTATATATATTATTAATTTGGATTAAGAGTTAAGTTGTCGCATAAGTCCAATGATCGCCTTGGATATCTAATGCATATATAGTAATATACATACATACATATATAGTATATTTACAGTATAGAGTGTTATACATACATATGCACTGAAAATCCCATTAAGATCGTCATTTGGAAGCTCCACTTATTTAGTTCGCATAATAGGGGTTCTATACATATATGTGTACATAGAATTAGTCTAGACTCTACTGTAAGTCGTGCACTCCCAACTTGAGCAGTCATAACTGGTTCATAATTGTTTATTTAAGTCATTGTCTACTGATCCGGTAGCTCATCTAAGAGCAAGAGTCACTCCCAACTAACAGCTAGCAGCTCGCAGTAATCGTGATTGTGTTTACCTTGCTGAGCTGCTTACGAATTCGCAACGCACACTCACATTCACACTCGCATTCGTATTCGTATTCGCATTCACATGAACATTCACTTTAACGATCGACCGTATTTGTCTGCCTTTGGATTATAAATATTTTGAAAAGTTTGTGCCCAGTTTTATGAGTTGTACGCCATTTACCTGGGCACACAAAAGTTTCTACTCTTGGCTTTATTATTATTTACTAAAATTAAAGTAAATATGTATGTGTGCGATAAGCTCCAACACAACGGGAGCACGCAATTACACTTTTACTAATTAAACTAGAAGATAAGGATGCATATATCTACTTTCTTTTGCCAAGCAATTTTAATGTTGCGAATTTCACGTAGACTTAGTACTTAGTTTATATTATTTTTGCCGGCTTTCGTTTAGAGATAACAGCTAAATGGACTGTACTGCTGGGAGAGTTATCT